TTTCAAATGGGCTAGAAAATAAGAGCAGAGATGTACTGCTGAGACCGAATAAGGTACTGATCAGTCTGCATTTGGAATATTGTGAGCAGGTTTGGGCCCTACAGAAAGATTGGAGGGAGCCCAGAGCAGGTTTACAAGCATGATCCCAGGGATGAAGGACTTGTCATATGAAAAGCATTTGAGGACTCTGTGTCTGTACTCAATACAATTTAGAAGGATGAGGGGGAATCTCATTGAAACTTACAGAACACTGAGTGACCTGGATACAGTGAATGTGGAGAAGATGGTTCCACAGGTAAGAGAGACTAGGACCTGAGGGCACAGCCTCAGGGTGAAGGGATGACCCTTTGGAACTTAGATAAGGAGGTATTTCTTTGGCCAGAGAGTGGTGACTGTGCGGAACCCATTGCCTCAGAGGGCTGTGGAGGCAACCATCAGGTCTTTTTAAGACAGAGACAGATGAGTTCTTGATTAATAGAGAGATCAAGGGTTTTTGGGAGAAGGCAGGAGAATGGGGTTGAGAAACATATCAGCCATGAGCTGAATGCCTAATTCTGCTCCTATATCTTATGGTCTTATCAAAATACATCACCTTTTTGGTGTCCATTTGAGAGGAAAGAACAAAAGGGGAAATTGGCTCTTTATATGTAGGTTGTAAAGATCCTGCTGTAGATATTTTCTAATCAACCTGTTCAGAAATGTTATTACACATCTCTGGAGGATGTGGGACATTAATCCAGGTCTCTTGGCCTGGAAGGACTTCACTGTACATATGCTATTTAAATACAGTCTCAGATGATTGCACTAAATAGTAATATTTCATTTTGCAGCCCAGGATGGAAAGGAATTACCTGGAGAATTGGAAACACTGGGAAGTGGTCCAAAGTCTTTTAGTGTTGAGGAAGGCATGTCAGGTTCTAACAGACTTTGTAGATCACTTCAAGACTCTGAGACAATAGAAAATATTCAAGTAGTTCTGGGCAGAACTCTGCAATCTACAGCACTGAGATGGTTGATTTCATGCTCAGAGCAAGTGGATTATCCTGGCATGGAGCAATGCATCTAAGCCTTTTATTCTGGGAAAGAGACTTGGTGGGTGGGGAGTGTACAGACTGACTTGGAAGGAATGTCATGGGTCCCAAGCACGGGTGCCAGAGATCACTGGAAGTGCTGGCATCTGACAATACTGCAGAGGGAACTTGGCTTAAAGGACACAATATTCTTGCACAGGAAAAGGACACAGGAGAATGGCCCTGAAGTACATATAAGAGCATAAA